ACGCTGGGTTTGTGAGGAGGGTGGGGAGCAGGGCTGGGGTGGGAGACAGGTGTCTGGGGGCTATGACATGGCCGAAGGGGTGGGGGACCCTGCTCCTGATTCCTTGTTCCCCAGCCTGTGCCGGTGTCTGGAGTCGCCAGTGTGGGCACAGAAGGGTGAGGGGCTGGTGCAGCCCTGGCAGCCCTGGGGCCCCTCTCCCAGTGTCACTGGGGCTGCAGGTGCCAGGGGACCACACCACAGTGGGGAGACCACGTGCTCAAGGGTATCCTGAACTGAGCAGAAACTCAAGAAGGGGACAACAGCAGGTGCAGATCCCACATCAGCTGTAACTGGCAGCTCCTCGTTCTGGCCTGACAAAATCTCAGGCTGGATGTCCCCACTTGTTTTTTTTTAATTGGAAAATTGAATTAATTTGAACCAAGTTTCTGGATTACTTGCAGCAGGTTTATTGTTCTCAGTACAGTTGTCATTGGCAACTGTACATTAGCATTTAGGGTGTGACTAACAGGTCTTCTTTGAGTGATGGCAATGAAGGAGGAAGTGGACAGTGGTTACTGTGAATGAGAAGTTATGTGCCCTGCCCGTGACTGTTCCTCACCTGCGCTCGCTTTCGCCGGGGGTGCGATGCCCTGGGAACAGGTGGGAACAGGCGTCCCCTCAGTGCACCAAGGGCTGTTTGACTGGGGAAGGTGTTTCTGTTCTCCGTGCCGCAGTGACCGGTGGAGCTGGCAGTGCATGGGAGATGCCAGCACTCTTCAGGAGCAGGGGTCCATCCTGCTCGCTCCTCAGGAGAAGGGGCCTGTCCCGTTCCAGCTGACAGTCGCGCCTGCCCACTTGGTCCTGATTGCCATCTCCAGGGCCGGGCACCTCTTCCCTGGGCTGCAGGCATCCTCACTTGGGGCCTCTTCCCAGTGACGCGAGTGAGTGTCTGAAGAGGAAATGCTGTTGAAAAAAAAGGCTAAAAAAACCCAACCCCCGTCAAAAAGGTTTCAGCAAAGGTTAAAAGTAGAAGGTTCTGCAGCCGCGTGGGTGCAGATGTGCTGCTGCCCTGCCCCAGGGAGCTGGGGGAGTGCTGGCAGGGCCTCCCAGGCTGGAGGCTGCCCTGGAGCTGTGGCCCCCTGGGAAATTCTGAGGGTGCAGTTTGCATGTTGGTTTTCTGAGCAGAGGCACAGATATCTGCTGCCATGCTGGGTTTCATGATGGTAGATCTCGATTCACCTTTCCTTGCAGATTCACCCTTTAGTTCCAAGATTCTGACTTCACTTTAACTGCTGCAGTGAAAGGAGAATGAGGAAGGCATTCATTGAGGAAGGTAAGTGGTGCACAGTGGCAGAGAAACAAGAATCTTGCACCCCAAGCACAAAGCTTGGCTCACAACCCAAATGATGCTACAGGAGCAGTTCACCCTTCCCGGGTGAGGTGTGGAACTTGGGGGGAAACACAAGGGCTGTAGTAGCACCAGGTGCTGTGCAGGAAAACAGAGACTTCAGCCTCAGTCAACTACTGAAAGCAGGAAGGTGACCTCCCATGTGCCAGCCTCACTGTGTTGGTATGCTGGTTTTGTCTGGGGTAGATTTAACTCTCTGCTCAGTGGCTGGGATGGGACTATGTTTTGGATTTGTGCTGAACACAGGATTGATAATATAGAGGTGTTTTTGGTTTTGCTGAGCAGAGCTTGCACAGTGTCAAGGCCATGTTGGCAAGGAGACTGGGGGGTGCATGGGAGGTTGGGAGGAGGCACAAACTGACCAAAGGGATATTCTGGACAATATGACATCATGCTCAGTACCAGTGGGGGGAAGAAGGTGGAAGGGGGGTGATGTTTGGGTTTGTCTTCCCAAGGAACTGTTACGCAGGATAGGGCCCTGCTCTCCTAGAGCTGAACACCTGCCTGCCCATGGAAAGGGCTGAATGAGCTCCTTGTTTTGCTTTGCTTGTGTGCATGGCCTTTGCTTTCCCTATTAAACTGTCTTTATTTTGCTTTTACCCTCCTGCTTCTCTCCCCCATCCTGCTGGTGGGGGACTGAGAGGTGGTTGTGAGGGGCTTGGTCATTGGCCACGGTGAAATCACAACAGCTGGAGAGAGGGTTATTTAAATTTAGAATTAATCAGGAAACAATCCTGCTTCCTGGTGTGCTTAAACTTTGTGCTGAGTACTAAGCACGGGAAGGACGGTGGTCTGTGACGCCCACACCTCCCCCGCGGTGAGCCCGGGTCCGTACCTATCGTCAGGCGGGCCGTTCGGGTCTGCTCCCGCTGCCCGCTGTAGAAGTACAGGTGGAAATGGCGCTCGGCTCTCCAGTGGCAGAGCAGGCGGCTGTCGGTGCCGAAGAGGACGCCGATCCTGCCGGGGCCGCCGCACCTGGAGGGGCCGCCGCACCTGGAGGGGCCGCCGCACAGCCACACGGGCAGGAGGGGCGTCCGCAGCGCGGGGCTCACCTGGGCGGGGGAGCCTGGCCGTGAGCCCGGGCCGTGCCGAGCTCTGCCTCGCTGCCCTGGGCAGTGCCGAGCTCTGCCCCGCTGCCCTGGGCAGTGCCGAGCTCTGCCCCGCTGCCCTGGCCGTGCCCGAGCTCTGCCCCGCTGCCCTGGGCAGTGCTCGAGCTCTGCCCCGCTGCCCTGGCCGTCCCCAAGCTCGGCCCCGCTGCCCTGGCCGTCCCCAAGCTCTGCCCCGCTGCCCTGGGCCGTCCCCGAGCTCTGCCCTGCTGTCCTGGCCGTCCCGCTCTCACCTGCCGCTCCCAGCTCAGGAAGCCCACGGGGCCCCGCTGCCCCCCGGCCCCGCCGCCGAGCTCCCGGGCGCTCGCCCGTCCCGTCAGGAGGAGGCTGAGCACGGCCTGCGGGGACACAGCCCTGGTCACACCCCGGGGACCGCAGCAAACGCGCTCTGCAGGTGGGCTCCAGCTCCCAGCTCTGTCCTGCCTGGCACTGCCAGGGGAACGCCAGGCTCCAGGTGGCTTTTTTATTATTATTGTTATCATCATCATTATCATCACCATCATCATCATCATCATCGTGGGCTGTTTTTTGCATGCACAGCCGTGATTAAAATTTGCAAAATATTTTTGCAAATTTTATGCTTTTTTTCTTTGGATTAAAAAGAGAGAATTTTTTTCCTAAATCAAATGTGGGAAACGTGGCTGATCCTACCTCTGTGCAGGTGACATTTCCAGAACTGACGTTCAGCAGAGGAGCTGTGTCACCCAAATCCTCTCGGACCCTGTATGGCCGAACAGAGAACATCAGGGCAGTGCCAGGCTGGTGCTGGAAGTGACGCTGCACGACCCTGCCCGGCTGGTGGGAAAGGGAGGAAAGGAAAAGCCATTTCAGAAGATGTAACTGAACTAGAGGAAAATATTTAAAAAGTGAAATATACCTTTCAAGTGTCCTAGAGAAAAGTAAACTGTATAAAAATAGGATCACTCCATGGCTTCCTTCACATTTGAACTGGAAAAAGAAATAAGGGATCACAGGGAAGGAATTATGGCCAGTAAATCACATTTAATTAAAGCAATTAATCTGCTTCATTAGAGTCTTAGGTGAGTGTGTTGAGCCAGATGAGTAAGGTATTATATCAGGAAGATTTTATAATCAATTTTGTTGAATAGGATCATGTAAAAAAAGAAACTTCCACTTATTGGCTAAATGGGTTTTGTACATTTTTTTCCACAAATCTTTGCTGAGGCTGCAAGGAATCACATCTTGTATTCCAGTGAACTACAAAATGCTGTCCCATTTACCCAGTGTTTGTGGGTTGAGAGAGCTGGAACAGTGGGTAAAGTCCCAAGAATTTTAGTGGGAGTAAGATCTCTTCCCAAAGGAAGATCCATGAACTTTACTGTATGTTAACACCACATTCTGCTGATGGTGGCACTTGCCTTCAAAAGGTCTGATTTGAATAGGAAATAAGATGTAATTCAGCAAGAAAATAACTTGGATAGAGCAAATATCCCCACTTACACAGTTTATGTGGTCGGAGATGAACTCCTGAGCTGCAGCTTTCTCCGAGAACTCAAACAGCCGGATCTGTCAGGCACAAGCATGGGGAAGGTGATGTAAAGGAGATGTGAATTATGTAAAAAAGCTGAGGTTTTGAATCCTGTGGTTCTTTTAGCCAAGTGAAAGAACAGTGCAGGGGTCTGTTCTGCCCCTTGCCCAGCCCCAGGGTCTGGCTCCGTGCGGGGAGTTGGGAGCAGTTTCACATTAACTGGATTCTTGTTTCTGCAGGAGGAGGAAGACCGGCTTTTGATGAAGGGGAGCAGCAGCCCCCGTGGTGACGTGGGCTGTGGTGGGACCTGGGTCTGGGGGCTCCCCACTTTGGTGCACCATAGGTGAGGGGGCAGGTTTAGGAGATCCATTTCAGGCCAGAGGTGTCTTTAAGGAACGCTCTGTGTGCAGTCGTTTCCATACTCACTCTCTCCGTGAAGGTGTCTGCTCTGTAGCCTGTGTGTGGCATCACGGTGCCAGCTGTGGTGATGAGGCAGACGACGGCTCTGCCCCCTCCTCCTGCTGCCCACAGGGTCTCTGCCAGGGCCACGGCCAGCGCCTGTCCCTGCTCCCGCTGCCCGATCCGGCACAGCCTGCGCCGCGGGAACACCGGGCTGTGAGCATGGCACCGGGGGTGGGGGGCACGCACCACCATCCCAAACCAGGAGACTCGATGGGAAGAAGCCTTGCCCAGGGATCAGCCAAGGCTTCTCCCTTGGTACAGATCCTCACCTGTAGCTGCACACCTGAAGCTGGGTCTGGTTTGGTTGAACCCAGGGGCTGGTCTGCCTGAGTCCAAACAATGCACGGAAATAATTCCTGTGTGTCCCAGGGGAAGGCTCAGCATCTTACCTTTCCAGGTGAGTATGTTCTGTGTCTCTTGTGAAGAGCAGATATGTGATGATGTGTGCTTGTACAGCCATCAGAACAGCTCTTGTTCCGCCCTAGGGACAGAAAGATGAACCCCCAAGTCTGAGGAGCACATGCCATTCCCAGCAGTCCCTGGCCAGTAGGAAAACAGGAAGCCCTCATGGAGAAGAAGCTGTGGAATGGCCCTGGCTGTGTGCTGGGGACAGCAGGGGTCCCCACAGTTTGTTTTTTCTCCTCTCTAGTCTCACAACAAAGAGCCAGGCAACCCAAGGCATCCTGGGACTGATGTGAGGCTGTGCACAGGGGTGCCTGTGCCTGCACCCTGCTGTGTTCAGGGTCAGGGCTGTGGTCTCTTCTGGGAGCACAGAGCCTTGGAATGCAGGGAGAGGTGCCTGCGGTTGTACCCAGTGTTTCAGCTTCCAGGTGATTTAGGAGATTTGCAATTTGAGTGTTTATCTTGGGCTTCTGCTTTTTTGGGTGCAGTGTTGTGATAGTAAATAAGGAAGAAGAAAAAATCCCCACTCTTTCAGTAAATAGTGTAGGTGACTTCACCTGTTAGATGTCTAGGTGGGGCAGGAAGAATTAGGTAAGTCTAATTCTCAGAAAAAAACAAGAAAGTCCTGCTTCTTTGTGCAACCTGCTGCCTCTCCTGACTCCTCCCCTGTGAGCACCTCCCAGAGGGGTATCACAGTCTGTCCTGCAGCCAGCAGCTGCCTCCAGGCCAGCCACCCCACTCCAGCCTCGGGCCAAAGGCTCCCCTGTGAGGGCAGCTGTGCAGGGGGCTGTGGCTGGAGCCCCTGCACCCAGCCCGGTGGGGAACATGGCCTGGCAGGAGGGCAGGCCATGTGGGGTGAAGGGGTGTGTGCTGCTGAGGCTCCCAGCGCTGGCTGCTGTGTCCTGTGCATGTTTGAGACAGCGAGGAGCCGGTGCCAGTTGCTGTGTGACACTTTACCTTTCCTGCCTCCAGCGCGTAGGCCAGGTCGGAGTGCGGCCGGCGGAACCTGAAGTGTGCTGCTACCCACTCCCAGCTGAACAGCAGGGTTGTGTCCCCAAACAGCAGCTTCTGCAGCCCCTGCCGAGGAGGAGCCAGAGGAGGGGTCAGGTCCCAGCACGGGGGATGACCTGTAATGTCAGGAGGTCTTGAGGTGCAGGTGCAGTGTGCCCACGGCACTGCCACACTCTCAGGCCTCACAGCTTCAGGGCAAAGATGATGTTTGGGCTCAGTCAGGGACTTCACTCAGTACTTGGCCGCTCCAGTGAAGCTCGGTCACAATGTGTAATAACCTCTGTCGGGGTACAGGGCATTTTTTAGGGAAGACCTGCACCGTCATCACCCGCAGAAGTTCCGAGCTGCTGGGCAGTGGCACCGGCAGCAGCACCCTCAGGACAGGAGCGGAAATCCCTCACTGAAGGTGTAAAAAGCCTTTTGCAACCCAAACGATTCTATGATACCGTGATCCTGGCTCCCATCTGAGGCTCTTTGGCAGGGAGGCCCCAGAGTGCAGGTAAATATTTCATTTAAATATTGTCATTTCAGTTAAATATTGTCATTTAACCGGTTCTCTCATTGAATTATTGCAGATCAGCTTTAAGGTTGTGTTGCAGCCATGCTCGTTAAGAGTCCCATAAATAATGCATCCCCATCCCATAGTTGAGGGGATAGCAGGCTGCAGCCCACAGCCTGCCCGAACGCCGGGAAAGGCTCCCGAGACTCCTCTTTAGGAGATTCAATTACAGCTCATGCTTAATTCAGCAGGCAGCTCACCATCGCTGTGTCTGGGGAGAGGGGGCGGCCGCCCGTGCCCGGAGGGAGCAGGAGGGGCTGGGGGATGGTCGAGGGGGGCTGCGGCCCCGGGGGCTCCCCACCTCGGGGTGGTCCATCGCCAGCTCTGCCCCGGCCTCGCTGCAGGGAGAGGAGCAGATGATGCATCAGGCCAGGGCTGCTGCTCCCGTGCACTCAGAGTTCCCCCCCAATATTCCCGGGGGGTAGGCACAGTGCCAGGCCACAGGCTGGTGGCGGGGAGGGGAGACACACGTGCTGCCCTGGAACACGGGTGCCCTTGACTTCCAGCTGTTGTTGGGCATTCCCAACGCATCCCTCCCAGCTAGTGACTGGAGCAGGGAGTAACACTGTGTTTGTCTAAATTACAGAGAATACCTTCAGTGCCTACCAATCCAAGGGCACAGCAAGTTTTCCAAATACTTGCATTGTGGAGATGTTAGCTTGTTATACCTTTTCACTGTGTTCTAAAACTGACTGTAGAAATCATTAGTTTTAGGCAGAAAGGTTGTGTTGGACTGCTCTGCCCCTTTGATTTAAATCAGGAAGACTTTCTTTCAGAATACCTGAAGAAAACGTCTGTTTCTCAAAGGAGCAGCATGAGAAATGACTCTCCATAGAGACCTGGGCTCCAGGTGACCTCCTCAGTATGCCAACCCGGCAGGACAGCCCAAAACCCATCAAACACCATTTGTGACCTTTGGAGAAGAGTTACCTGATGAATTGTGTTGTTGATTTCCAAGCTGAAAAGGTAAAATAAAGCACAATTTAAAAAAACCAACAGAGGCATTACCAGCATATGGAGAACCCTGAGTCCAGCCAGAAGAGAACACCAGAACAAAGGAAGAGTAAGAACTGTAGCACTTGTATTAAGGAGTACACAAGGACCTTTTGTCATTGGCACATAAGTTTTGTAATAAAACATAACTTTACAAATTACATTAAATAACTACCCGAAATTAAAAATGTGATAAAGAAGTAGAATAAAAATCTTACCCACGGAAACTAAAGATTTCTCTCCATTTGTTCAGGTCAGAGATTCTGCTGACGATCTCCTCCAGCTCCGTCGGTGCGGTGTGTTCAGTCCCCAGGCCACCCATCGCAGCCGCCTGCCCAGCCCCTCTGTCACCCATCGCAGCCGCCTGCCCAACCCCTCTGTCACCCATCGCAGCCGTCTGCCCAGCCCCTCTGTCACCCATCGCAGCCGTCTGCCCAGCCCCTCTGTCACCCATCGCAGCCTCCTGCCCAGCCCCTCTGTCGCCCATCGCAGCCGCCGCGCTCGGCCGATGCTCCTGGCGACGGAGCGGGATGGGAGCACTGAGGCTGCTGGGGGAGCGGCTCCCTGACCCCCCCCGAGCGTCACCGACCCCCGCCCACCCCTGCGGGGCTCGAGGGCAGCGCCCCCGTCCCGGTGATTGAACCGCCAGCAGAGCCCGTCCGGTGTGCGCGCTGTGCCGGCAGCATCGATGTTTAATGCCGGCAGCATCAGTGTTTAATGCCGGCAGCATCAGTGTTTAATGCCGGCAGAGCCGGGGGGATGGCGCAGCGGGGGCTGCTCGGGGGGGGCTGGCTGCGGGCGGGGGCAGGAGCGGGGTGCAGGAGGGTGGGTATTTTCCAGCATGGAGCAGGAGACAGGGTGTTTTCCAAAGCGGATCGAGAGAGGGGCTATTTTCCAGTGTGGGGCAAGAGCAGGGGCATTTTCATGGATGACGGAGGGCCCGGTGTCCCTGCTGGGGCTCCCCCAGGGTTCGTGCTGGGCGGCCGTGCCTCCGTCAGTTCTACCAGTCAAACACACAGATATTGTCACAATTTTATTTTGCTCGTAAGAAGTTGCTTTCCTTAGGAACTGGATATGAACGTAAATAACAGCTGTGCTGATGCTCGGGAGCGGGGCGGGATGCGGAGACGGTGGAGCCGGGCTGAGTGACCCCGGCGAGGACACCGGACCCCGGGTCGGGGCTGCTCCTGCCTGCACAGCAAAGGGAGGGGTTTGGGCTTGCTGTGTAGTAAACAATACCATGAGATGCAATACAAATCATGTATTAAGAACACATTAGCATTAGGAAGAATACGCATATGGATTAAGAAGAAAACTATGAAAAAATCTCGGTGTCGTGGTGACTTGCAGCAGCCCTTACACATTGTCAAAATCCGTGGAGAAGTAGAGGGCAGAGCTGCCTTGGGAAAGGTTCGGGTAGTGGGGATGCAGCTGACAAATCTTTACAAGAACTCAGCAGTGTTCTGCCATTCACTGTAGAAGTATAAAAAAAAGGCATCAAAGTGAATGAGGCCTCGTGGGCTGGCAGTGCCCGAAGTGCAGAGGGCTCAGATTATCTGGTAACTGGGCCCGTTTTGCACCTGGGGGACTGGGTGGACGCGGGGTGGGATCGCTCCTCACCCACAGCTGGGTACAGTCCCGCAGATAAACAGGTGGCTGGGGAAGGCGCTGTTTCTCTGTGTTTGCTCTGAGTGCTGTCTCTGTGTCTTCTGGGGAGCATCTCGTCTCCAAGGCACCCAGGTAATTCCCATGGGGGTAGTCTTTGCTTCTGTCTCAGCCTGTCGGTAGCTGGGCTGGCTCTGCTATCCCTGCGGGAGGGTCTGTTGCTTTGAGTGACCTGGAGATGTCTGAGGGTGTGAGGGCTGCTGTGGCTGTCTGTCTGGCTTCCTGCACCAGACCTTGCCACGTTCCTTCCTTAGTCCCTGCTGAGCTGCAGTGTGCCAGGGAGCCTGTCTGTTGTGTTATTGCTGCCCTTTCCAGAGGTTTTGACTTGCTTTATTGTTATTGTTTGATGAGAGTTTGCAAGGCTGCTCTCCAGGTAGGGCTCTTGGGAGCTCTGGGAGGGGACAGTGGGAGGTGAAGGTGCCTGGGCTCACTCCCTGAATGCCTTTTGTCTGATGAACTGTAGAGGGGTTGTTCTGCAGTGCCAAGCCTGGCTGCCTCCCTGAGGCAAGCAGGAGCACACAGCACATCTCCCGAGTGCTGCTCTGCTGCGACAGCTTTGTCACCGAGCTGCAGCAACCGCAGGGGTAACAGGAGCTGCTGTCACTTCGAGCTCAGAGCACAGTTTGGTTTGTTAAAACTAAAACCCCAAAAGAGAGCTTTATGGAGAGAAACAGTGCTGTTGCCGTGCATTTGATGCCAGGTTAAAGTGCTGGTGGTGGGTGCAGGTGTTTGGGTTTTACCCTCCGAGCACTGGCTGTAGCACCTGTTCCTCCTGAGCTCTGCATGTGTGAGCTGGAGCCTGAGGGGTGTCAGGGCAGAGCCCGTGCCTTGTCCTGTCCCCTGCTGGGTGTCCTTATTCCCTGGCATGGTCACAGCTGTGTCCACGTTTTCACCAGGACTGAAAGGCAAAGCTGCTGCTGGTGAGTGTGAGTCTCTTACTGCAACTCATCCACTGGACTTTCCAGGTCCTGTGCAATGCTACTGAGATTTCTAGTTTTCTTCATACCAGTTACTTTTCAAATAGTTTACTGGAAAAAAGGCAAATGTCTTCTTGGTCTTACCCCAAGAAAGAGGGCATTTCCATCCAGACATTACTATTCAGCACATCTTCTTTTGTTCATTGTATATACCATATGGATGCTTGTTTGAAATCTTCTCTTTTGTTTTACCTTCTTCAGAGCTAATTGTTTACAAGTTGATACATCTGGTGGTTGTTGACGTAGTAGTGACAAATCTCTTTCCTTTAAATATTGTTAAATCCTGTAATTCTAATACATCAGGTCAACTGCTCCTGTGATCCTCCCTGAATCTTTTGGTTTTGAAAAGGGAAATTCAAACCCAGCAAATCGGATTAGCAGGGCATTGAGGAAGTGCACCAGAGAGCAAACCAGGATGGTCCAGAAGGAATTTGCAAACTGTTCACTGTGAGTCTTGAATGTAAAGGTTCCCTCCTTGAAATTAGCGATCTTCTCTGAAAGGTGATGGATCTTCACCTCTGAGGAGAAGAGAATCATGATGAGGCAACCGCAGGAACCTGAAAGGGAGGAGGGACATGCTCATCACCTTGGCAACCCCTCAGTCATGCCGTGTGATGTATGCCACACCAAATACCACATGGAGAGTGTTCTTATGGCCACCGTAACTTAGCTTTAACAGGGATTGTGTTTGGAATCCAAGCCAATGGCTATTGAAATTGGTAAGCTTTTTTAATTGAATTTGGCTCAGGACCAGCAATATTTAGCATGGCTGCTTTAATGCCCTGAGCCAGCTCACGTTCAGCTTTAAGCCACTGATTGTGCCGTTGAGCATAATGGAGCTGTCTGCATGTCTAAAGATAAATACCGAAGTTCTTTATTAAGTTATGATTGCAACATATAATACCTTGTAAAGTCAGGGCAAACCTGCTTGTCAGCCAAGCCAGCAGCCTGGAGAGTGGGCATTACCCTCCCTGTGTGGCAGAGGGACAGGGATGCTCTGTTATCCCTGCTGGCAGTGGCTCTCAGAGCCCACCCTCAGAGGGAGCTGCTGCCAGCCCCTCCCTCTCTGCTGCTCAGCACATCAGTCCTTGGGAAGGCTGTCCTGCTCTAAGAGGTGACCTCACTTACACTGTCTGGAGCCCTCCTGTTGTGGGAGCAGTTACATCACTGACATATTTTGGTTGTTTTTTACCTGGTTCCTGGTTTTGACTGTGTTGGGTGTCAGTGATGCAGTACCACCTCTGTGTCCCTGGGGTTTGTGGGCCTTTCTGCAGCAGCTTGACTGTTTCCATCCTGCCACCTGCCCTTGTGGGGGATTTCCCCCATTTTATCTTTTCATTACAATTTGGAAAACACAAGATTTGATGCAGCAGAGTCCCCCACCTTCCTGCCTGGCTTGACTCTGCCAGTTTGGAGTCAATGCAGCCGTAGTCCTTCCCACACCCTCCTGTATCAATAGATGTGTCCCTGTGAGCAGCACATGCAGAGTCAGCCTGGCAGGACAGGGCTGCTGATACTCACAGGCAATGAAGCTCCAGAGGTACAGCCCAACAGGGCCATGCAGTGTTTCGTAGGGGCTGCCAAAGGCATTGAACATGAAGAACCCTGCTCCCACCAGAGCAAAGATGATCAGTACTGTACAGAAGAGAATGACACTAACATGGATACTTGCAGGGATAATTCTGAGCAAATCTGGAAAAACTGAAAGCAAAACAAACACAGCATTAGTATGTACATTAGGCAAAGTTGTCTCTGAAATCAGGTTGGAGGTTCCTGCTACTCTGTGGTACTTGTTTTAATTCTGCTCTTCTAAGTGCAACAAAGAAGCTATTAACTAGAAATGGGTTTTCATGGATGTTGTGAGGCAGAAATATTCTGTAAAACTCAGAAGCATAGACTGGACAGGAAAGAAAGACCAGCTTCAGGGGAAGCCTCTCCTCCCCTTTCTGGAGGTGGCATTTTGTCCTTAACATGAACAGTATATTTTGGGGGAAAAGAGTGGAAACCTGTGTTTGTGGAGTCAGGTCTGCCCTGTGAGGTGGCCTAGAGGGCTCTCACCCCCCCAGTATTATGGGCTTGGCCATCCCCTCCTCTTTGGGGATGGGGGAACAATAAATCTAGAAACAGATTTCATTTTCATTTGTGCTTACAATGTCCTGTGGAAGGATGTGACATTGGAAATGAATTTTTGCTGTCATTAGGGATGCACAAATTCAGGAATAATTTATTTTAAATATGTCCATACAGCTTTTTACCTACTATTTCAAACTGGGATCCTGCTTTGCTAGGCTGTAGGGGGATAGTCAGTCAGAGAGCATGAGAAAATGATTTTTTAATTATTCCTGTTTGTTTGGCAACAACAGGTATTGTGGAAGGAACAGCAAAATACACTTTACTGCTCTGGATCCATGAAGGCACGATTAAAGTAGGGGTAATAATGTCTCAAATCAATTACTTTTCTTTGTAAAGTCTTTACCAGAAAACTGCTCCACAGCTCCCTGTAGGAACACAGAGCAGTAGGTAACAGGGTGCCAAGTTCATTTATCTGCCCGACTAAATGAAAGGTAAATTAATGAAACAAATGTCTGCAAAACTGAGGAAGTCCAGCAAGGCCAAGTGCAAGGTCCTGCATGTGGGTTGGGGCAATCCCAGCACAAACACAGGCTGGGTGGGGAATGTAGCCCTGAGGAGAAGAACTTTGGAATATTGGAGGATGAGAAACTCCCCATGCTCCAGCGCCGTGTGCTGGGAGCCAGAACCCCCCGTGTGCTGGGCTCATCCCCAGCCTGGGCAGCAGGGAGAGTGGGACTCTGCCCCTCTACCCTGCTCAGGTGACACCCCACCTGCAGAGCTGCCCCCAGCTCTGGGGCACTGACATCAGAAGGACAGGGAGCTGCTGGTGTGAGTTCAGAGGAGGCCACGGAGATGCTCTGAGGGCTGGAGGGAAAAGAAGGCTCTCAAAAGACCATAGAGCCCCTTCCAGTGTCTCCCTGTGCAGGCTTCCTACAAGGAATAGCATTAGTTCTGTGATACTACTTATGTTTTGGGAAAACATGTAAAACTGTGGATTTAAAAATACAATTTTGTGTTGCTTATTTTAAGAAAACAAGTTATGGCACGGTACTGAATCCTTCCCATGGCACCTGCATCTATAGCTGTTTGTCATTAAAGTTTTATATGTGACATATCAGGAAAAATTAATTCTAGCAGCAATGTTGTCTTGAAAGGCAAACACTCCTTCACTGTACTGTATGAACCTGTGTGTGGTGTGTGTGGCAGCAACCTTTAGAAAATGAACTGCTGACCCAGAAACTGATGGGAATGAGCAGGAACAAATGGAGCAGAAGCTTTCCCCAGTTGAACTGGGTTTGCTGGCAGAGCAAATTCATATTACAATTAAAAGAGATATAGTGGTCAGAGGGGAGCATTTAATGGGAACAAGCATAGAACTAAATCACTTAGCCTGTTTTCTGTTCTCCTCAGACATGCTTAAGTGCAGTGAGTGCACTGAGCTATGGCTATGTACTGTATATGTTTGTCCTGCTTTCTGGAGTGTTCCTGAGGCACCAGTGTGACGGGATGGGGCTGCTCCAGCTCCAGGGAGTGGGATCAGCGTGTTGCACTAAGTGCTCTCTGAGGGAAAGGCTGCAGCTTGTCCCCTTCCAGCTGCCACTGACTGAGCCCTGAGGAATGTCAGCCCCAGTGCTGCTGGTGGCTGGGCCAGCCCTGGGTCACAACAGTCTCCCAGTCCCTTGGGATTGGATAAACCTCTCTGAAAATTCACTCAGGGTGAAATATTTGCACACAGTGATGGCACACAAAGCGACTGAGGGGGAACTTCAGCGTGTAAACAGACTGGTGATGGAATTTAGAGAGAGCAAATCTTAATGTAATATTAAATTAACCTGGTCTGCTACTTTGGCAAACTGTTATGTAGTGAATAATTTCTGATACCTAACCTGGTAGCCTTCCCTTGCATTCAGTCACTGGCGTGAGCAATTTGCCAGTCCTGTGGAAGGCTCATGAGCTGTCTGCTGTAGTAACTTTGGCCGACACGTTCTGCACACAGCAATAGGTTGTTTGTTATTGTTTGTTCCACGTGCTGCTGAATACAAATGTCTCACTTGATCATTTTATTGATTTTATCGATTTTATCCTTGAAGACAAATAGATTTTGAACATAAAGCAAAGCCATTGCTAATGCTTTGATGACATTCTTTGTGTCAGGTACCAGGTCGGCCAGCCTCCCCCAGCCCTTCCAATTAGTGCTGCAGATTGAGAACTTTTGGGCTGCTTTGTTTCTCAAGAGCAGCCGGTGCCCCAACTCATTTATTAGATTCCTGCTGGTTTAGTTCGTTCTTCTTGACAGCACAGAGGGCGTAATGTTGACAGAGAAAAAGATGGCAGAGGTTAATTAAAACCCCCAAATGTTCTTTTTTTTCCTAAAGTAATATTATAAAGTATTTCGAAATGTGGATATCTGTGTAACTGCAATGCAGATTCTTGAAGACATTAGTCAGGCCTTACTAGTATCAGAGAATAAGTTACTTGACTCTGAGGAGCAGAGCACTGTAAGGGCATTGTTGCTTTGGCACGTCCCGCGTTGCTGGGCTCAGTGTCCGAGCGGGCAGCCCTCTCCCGCCGCCCCAGCTGTCAGCAGTGCGCTGCAAACAACCCAAACGCCATCGCTACTCACATGAGAACTGAAAGGGTCTCCCCCCGAGCCCGCACTGCCGCACACGCTGCCCGGAGAAGAGTCCGTACTGGATCTCGCCGATGAACTTGTGCAGCTCCGCGCCGGTGGCGTTGACGAGCAGCGCTCCGGTGGTGCAGAGGACCGTGCCCCTCACCCAGAGCTGGGTGCCGAGGGCCGCCGCCGTGCCCAGGGCACAGGCGAGGCTCAGCACCCCCGCGGTGCAGAAGATCAGCTTCTTCTGCTGGGCTGGCATGGTGGCACTCGGGCACCGCCGGGGCTGTGGCTGCGGCGGTGCCGAGCTCCTCGGTGCGATGCTGCAGAGCCCCGGGCACCCGGCCAGCCCTGCCCTGAGACAGGCCCCGTGCCCGGCCAGCCCTGCCCCGAGAGCTGCAGCCTCTGCTGAGCCCCAGAGCCAAGCCAGGCCTGCCCCGAGAGCCCCAGCCCAGCCCTAGGCAGGCAGTGTCCCCTTCTGTACAGCTTTGCCGAGTGTTTCAGTGCATCTCCTGTCACTTGAGAGTGAGCGTTTAGGATGACTGATCTCTGTAATTTGATGAGTGCTCTGCTTGTCCCAGCCCCCGCGGGAGTGGGGGGTTCAGAGACAGGCTTCCTTGCTGATTATCCTGATTATTTGCTCTCCGTTATGGAAGTTCTCAGAAGGTTAATTTTTCCAGGTTTTCTTCTAAAGCCAGCTGTGCTGTTTTTGGTGGTTTTTGCTTGTTCGGTTTTTTTTGTTTGTATCCCCACCCCCCCTTCCTTCTGGGTGTATTTCTCTTTTGCTGTAATGCCCAGGTAATAACACACAGCACCCTGCCCAGCCAGGAGGCCCCTCTGCAGTATCTGATTGCTCTTCACACAAGCTAAGTCATGGCATGACATAACCCATCCCTTAAAGTGTGGTTAACTTGGAGGCTTAGTGAGGCCCAGAGGCATCATCTGCATCCATCTACTGACTGCCAGGGACTTCAGCAAACAGAGGGTTTGTTTTTTTTCTGAACCACATCAACTTAGTGCTTTGTTAACTGGATGCATATCCATTGCAGGAATGCTCTGCATGTGATTCAAGAGTATCATACTGGCTGAGTCTGGTTTAACTATGTAGATTCTAAGGCAAACTTGGAATTAAAATGAAGCAAGTCTGTGTACAGATTTACTGGTTTGATTTTTGTTTGGTTGGTTTTGTTTGGTTGGTTTTGTGTTTGTTTGTTTGTTTGTTTGTTTTGTTTTAAGCTAATGCCTGTTTAGAGGAATCAGGTTTGTTAGTCCTTGCTTTTGGCAAATGCAGCTGCATGCATGAAAGTATTTCAGTGACCAAAGATGTAATAGAAGATGTGTTAACAAATATGAGACCAGACTACTTTATTGGTATTATCTAGTTCAGCCTCAGCTTTTAAATTTTCTGTGGTTTGACTAGAGAATTGCTTAGAGGCAGAAGACGACTGGTTTGCCTGTTCTTGTCCATAAGCTCCTTTGTAGAGTATGGCTGTTAATTTTATTTAGACTTATTTGCAACCCATTGTCTAATCTTATATTTCCAAAGTGCCTTGTGTTTGTACTGTTTGGGAGATGCAGCACAAGGGGAGGATCTGCTTTCTCACTGTAAGGCTGATAGAGGAATGCACCCACCACTCCAGCACCTGCGGGGAGGACAGCTCTGGGAGCATGCTTCGGGATGGCGGAGCAGTGTGCCAAGTGGCAGCTGGAAGGCCATGGCCGGAGGGACTCAGCCGGGGCCAGCCGAGGCTGCAGCTCCCGGGGATGCGGTCACTGCTGCCGGAGCAGCACCGTGCGCTCCCACAGCCCCGCGGTACCTCCGGGAGCGGGTCGGGATCCCTCAGCCCCCGAGCAGGGAACAGAGGAAGGATGCCCTCGCTCCTCCGCTCGGCCTCAGGGCGCTGAGGCTTCACCAAGGAATTGAGGGTCTTTGCCGCTGCCCCTCCCCAGCCGCGAGCTGCGGAGGGGAGCTCGGACCGGGACCGGGCACCGCTCCCGGGAGCCCAGGGGCGGAACGTGCCCCCGGAGCGCGGGGACTGTGCGCGGCGGTTCGGTGTGACGGGCGGGCGGTCGCTGTCCTGAGGAATCGATTTCTCCGCTCCAATGAAGATGCTAAAGATGGGGGAGGCGACAGGGTGCGGATGCTGCGTCTCTCGGCTGCTCAGCCCCCCGCTCCGCTCCCCGGGCGTTGCCCCATCACCTCGGCCCCCCGGCCCGGGGACAGCCGGGGGTCCCCGCCCGCAGCCGCCGTGCCCAGCCCCGCCGCGGTGCGATGCGGGAGCGGCGCGGGAGGCAGCGGAGCGGGTGGGCCGAGCCGCGCCGCCCCCGCCCGGCCCCGCAGCCCGCCCCCGGCGCGGGGTGAGGGGGGGGCCGCCCACGCTGCTCCCTGGTGCTCGGGGCCCGCGAACATGAGCGATCATGGCCGCCTTCGGGCTCCTCAGCTATGAGCATCGCCCGCTCAAGCGCCCGCGCCTCGGGCCGCCCGACGTTTACCCGCAGGACCCGCGCCAGAAGGAGGTGAGACCGGCGGGGCCCCCGCCCGCGGCTCCCTGCCCGGCGCCTCCCCCCAAACTTTTGAGTGGAGCCTGCGGCCGCCGAGCCGCCGCTGACTTGCATTTTCTGCGGTGATGCCCGGGCGGCCGTCCCGCTCACCACTCACCGCCCCCGGTCACCGCGGCACCGGGCTCGCCCCCGGGGCGGCGGGGAGCGTGCAGGAGCCGGGGCAGTGAGGGGCACCCCTGGCCCTTGAGCGGCACAGGCATCTACCATGGGAGGCACCCCTGACCCATGAAGGGCATCCCTGGCCCGTGAGGGGTGCTGATGGCCAAAGTGAGCGTGGTCCTGCTGAGCTGCCCACCATGTGTCTGGCTTAACAGCAGCTGACCTGCCGTCAGAGGAATAAAAGGGTTGGAGGGTGCTGGAGGTTGGGAAATGCATCTGAAAACAGGGGCGAGGTGAGTGGGGCTGTAGGTTATTCTCTTCCATCGGGCTGTGGCTGTCTTGCTCACGGGTACCACAACCAAACCTGTAGAGACTCACTGGAGCTGGGACAAGCGTATAGCTCAGGTGGGTGCTGTGAGGTGGCTTGCTGATCTAGCAAAGCCCCATAGGGCACTGCTCTCCTCAGCTTGGCTTCCCAGTCTTGCTTCCCAGCTGCTAACCCTCCATAGGTGAGTGGAAGGAGCCTCTGGGAAGGTTTTGTGAATGGGGTGTCTCCCAGTAAAGTCAATAATAGGTCTCTCTGAGATTGGCCTTGTGTGTCGTGTCGTGGCTTGTATGCAAAGCTGTGTGTGCAGGTACCCCTGACCTCTGGAGTCTCCTGTGCTGGTGTTACTGGTGAATTTGGCACTCGTGGAAGTCATCAGGCTGGCAGTGAGGATGAGCACTGGTTAAATGGAGCGAGTACAGCAGGGCAGCCATGCAGCCCTCTTTGTGCTTCGCTCTCTCCCTGGTCTGTTGTCATGTTGATGAAGCTTCCGGCATGGAGGCTAATTAGAGTAATTTGTTAGTGGTTTATGAGCATCATCATCTGGTTTACATAAGCTGGAGAGTGCTCATCAAAGTCATGCTGTTGGTCAGCGCTGGCTGAGAGGGTCTTGGACAACAGGCAGTAAAAGATGTGGATTCAAGTCTGTTGCTAATCCTTGGAGACATACCTCAGTGTTTTGGACCTCTGGCATCTTTCTGACTCATCACTCTTGTGCCACTATGCATCAGGCTTACAACCTTGATGGTAACAGTAACTGGAAATATTCATCTAAGTGTAATTTCCATGCATGATCTTGGCCAGGCTTGCAGAACTGCATCCAAACTCGGCTGTGACAGTGTCTGGAGGTGAATTTTTAGCTCTGAACTGTTGAATATTTTTAGTCTGGTGGTGGATTGATTCTTGCAGACACGTTTATAAATATTCAGCCCATTACAATAACAATGGAAGTGGCAAGTGCCCAGATGGTTCGTATTTAAAATAGGTTTCATGGGTGCATTAGTAAGCAGGAAATAACTGCAATAGGCTTATTGTTGTTGGCCATGGTGGGATTGATCGAGATGTAGCTTGAGGGAAAGTCTTCATTCCACCTGTGTTGGTGCAAGGTTTTTGTGTGTCTTCTGCAACCAGACTTGTCTATCTCACATTGGCCTTTTCAGCCATCAGCGTGCTTGTAGCAAGTGTGGGGAGAGCCCTTCCCAAATCTTTGTTCGTGAAGCCCAGACATGGAAAAAAACCACCCTGCAGTAGCCCAGGCCACATCCTCACTGGTAGGATAGGTAAAGCAGTTAAAGTTTCTGTCTGAGGCCTCTCCAGTATTGCCCCCAATATTCCAGCTGGGCCCTCTCAGTGTCTGTGCCAGTTTGTCAGGGTCTGCTGCTTGTGGAGCTGGTGCTGCTCTGCTCCTGGGAGCCTCACCCTGAGCTTGTCGGGCTGCCCTTCTCTACAGATCCCATCTGTTTGTGTTGTGTTCACACCAGGATGCATGTGGGGCTTGAACATCCCCCATGTGGGGCTTGTGGGGCTTGAACATCCCCCACAAAACAAGTAAAATTCTTTCTGAAAAAAATTATTGCAAGTTGGGCCTGAATGTTCACTTGGCTATTTAAAATTGCAGAAGGGTTTTAAGCCTTGACTGTGGGCACCTGGGGCCTTGCTTGACATTTGGAAAGGCAGCTTGCCATCCTGCAGGAGCCCCGAGGACTCAGCGTGTTGTGGTGCAGACGCACCGCGTGGTGACAGCAGCGTGTGGTGCTCCTGTGCCTCCGGTTAGCACGGGGCAAGTCAAGTGGGCTTGACCCCTGTACAATCAGTGTGTCCAGCTGAGCTGTGCTGGTGTTCCTGCTGCTGTGCCCAGGAGCCTTCCCTCTGCCACAGAACAGCTGTGGCCTTGGAGAATGACCCTGAGCTGATACCGGAGCTGCTGCGAGTGAGATGTAATGAAAGCTCCTGTGAACATCCATTTTATCATTAATTTCTTTATAAAGGTATCTCTGTGCCTTGTGTTTGAAGGGGACTTGCCTTCATTTTCAGGTGATGCTTAGTTATGCAACTGTGCCATGCTCCAAGTTCTGCTGCTGAAGTAGTAGGGGAAATCTGAGCTAGTTACTGAGCCAGACAAACCAAACACTGATGTGTTTGTGTTGTCAGCCCCTCACAGCTTGTTCCCATAGTGTGGTAGATGTAGCAGTACAACAGACTGGTTATTTTCAGCATAATGCTATCTAGGCACCTTGTTTGAAAGACGAAGTTTAAAGATAACAGAACGAGGGTCA